CTTGCCTCGATATTTTATTAAAAAGTGTGAAAAAAACGAAAACATTAAAATTCAATTTCTCAAAAGTAACAAGATCAAATCTGCAAATTTGGTGTGGTAGTTCTTTTGTTTGTATAAAATTAATTTGTAACAGGATTTTTAATCATATCATTTAAAAACAATAATTATATAAAAACGAAGAAGAAGCGGGAAAAAATATTGTTAAGAAGCGGGAAAAAATATTGTTAAGAAGTAAAGTTTTCTCTGCGGTCCGAATAAAATTGAATTTTAAGACCATAACAAAATAACAAGGAAAAACATACATCATCATACTTAACAATATTATCTTGAAATTTTTAGCTTAATTGCTTAACTTAAACTTAAACTTAAATTTTATTTCACAACTTTATTTCACAACCAATATAAACAGTTTAATATGACAGATTATATGATGTAGGTCGGTAGCTTTTTAAGGAATATTTATAGTATAAACACTCCTTAAAAGTTACCAGAGCTATAAGAATCTGTTTTTTCAGTATCTAAGTATTACTTATGAAAAGATCTTTTTTTCTTCACTTTTTGCATGCAGAAGTTGATTAACGACGTTTGTTTACAATTCGCTTTTGGTCTTTTAAAACCAGTTTTGAAATAGTCACTGATCCTAACATTCCAAAGTAACTTAAAACAAATTTCAAGTAACTTAAAACAGATTTCCCCCTTTCACCAATATATAATTTTATGTTGGTATTCTTGATCATCAAGTTTAGCGCCGTGAAAAGATATTGCCCAAACTGCTTTCTTTATAGCATACAAACTATGAATATTGTTTAATGATTGTAAACTGAATAAATTATAGGGTTATAACGCAAGAGAATGGTTGGGGATTTTAAACCATACAACAAATCTTTTTTTGCTTGAACGTGTTTAGTTTTATAGAAAAACAGATGTCGGGCAATAGTTGTTTACACCATTTCCCCACCCCCCCTAACTCTTTTAAATCTCGTCGTTATTTTGGTAAATTTAAGTTAATCTGAGAAGATTCTCTGTCTGATTAACTTAAAGTTACAACAATAAATGCGCCTGATTTATTTTTAGTTTACCATGATTTCTCACACAATTTGCCAAGTAAGTTTGAAATTGCTTTTTTTTTTTGTCATACATCTATTCCAAAGAAATGTATAAAAACACTGAGTTTTATTGCATTAAAATGTGCCGTGCAAGTGACAACTCAATTCAACCTCCAAAACCTTCTAAAGATTAAAAAAGATTAAAGAGTAAAAGCGGGTCAAATAAGTTTTTATTTATCACGGTAAAAAGATTTCAATTTTTTTTTTTCAAGTTGTAAAGACTTTTGAATTGTATTTAAATATAAAAATCAAAGTTATTTTTAAAAAAGTTTTTCAAGAAACTTGATTTATTTGGAAAAAAAATTTTTTTTAATTATTTTTTTTCCAAATAAATCAAGCCCATTAAATCTTTCGGTCTTATCACAGAAAAGCATTTGAAAGAACGCTTCTTTCCTTATCGATGCTATATAACTTACCCAGAGGTGGCGTTGAATAACGGATCTCTATTTCTGAGGCTAGCGTACTAACCACTGGACTTCGACTCCTCCTTTTTCATTCTATTCTACGGCTGCATATTTCAATATACACTCCTGTTTGGGAGGAATGAAATGTGCAAATAAATGGGTTATCAAAAAAATACTTAACTTAAAAAATACAACCATTTATGTTAATTAAAAATCATCCAATAATACAATTTAAAAAAAAATAAAAAAATAATTTTATTTATGTGATGATGTTAAATCTTTAAGAGATTTTAGAGGTTGAGTTGAGTTGTCACTTGCGCGGCACTTTTTAATGCAATAAAACTCAGTGTTTTTATACATTTAATTGGAATAGATGTATGACAAAGCCAAACCTTGCATTTGGAATTTTCGATTTGATATCTATCACTTTTTTGACTTGCTTAAACTTTTCTAAAAACATTAGGACACTTTTATACTTGACTTAGTTTGCTACTTCTGTTGTTGTTGGAGATGGTGTTGTTAAAAGATTTATCTGCTGCTCATCATCAAGGTCAAATTTACGTCACGATTACGTTGTTTCCTAGTCTGATTTGCTTTATTTTTATTGTCACTCGATTTCCATCTTGCTGAGCAAAAACAAACCAGTCTTTTGAAACCCAGAGTGACTATTTGCGTGCATGTAAAATCTTCAACAGAGGTTTAAATGCTGAAACTTGAATAGAATGTATTTCTTGCAGTTTACTAAAACATCCTTTTGACAAACTGCTGAACTTTGTCTTTGCACAAAACTCTTAAAGTAATATAATATTATGTCAAATTTTGAATTCCCTCCCCCCCTCCTATACAAAGAAACTACGCAACAAACTTAGCCTAATTTTTCGTTGTTAAAGTAATAAAACTAAAAAAAAAAAAAAATTGTTGACATCAACTTTAATTGAACTCCCCCTCCCCCGCTGGTGCCACATCATTTTATAACTCTGTGTTGTGATATTATAAAACTGTGTTGTGATATTATAACTCTGTGTTGTGATATTATAACTCTTTGTTGTGATATTATATAGCGTTGATTTGTTTTTTATAGCATTATTTGTTTGTTTTGTATCTAACAAAAACAAGAATGTCTTTCATGGTTGAAGATTATCCAAATTTAATAGTTACCCATTTTTGGACCATAATTTTTCGTGTAAATATTTATTTATGAAATTTATATTGAATTCATGACCATTCTTATACGACAAAAAATTGTCTGAAAAAATCACTACCAAATTTAAATTAGGAAAACTCTCTGTAAAAAAATTAAAAAAAAATTTAATTCTAGAGTAGACTTAAATAGATTTTTTAAAACTACTTACATTTAATACAAAAATTTGCTGCAAGAGCGGGTCCGACTATGTTTACAATGCGTTTGTGCACCTTACCTAAAAGAAAACGGGCATTGAGATTTATTGAGATAAAGAATAGATTCCTAAATAAGAAAGTGGCGAGCACGATAAAGAGATGCAATATTAGACCCTATTAGATGCTTATGTTGCCATGGATTTGATTTGTGGTTTCCAAGAATATCGGAAATAAATTTTGTATCTCAAAGACAGAAACGTACCGATGGCCCCGCAGACGTAGGAGGGCGCTTTAGGCCCCTTATTAGGGGCCTAAGCCAAATTTTTCAAATACATTTAGTAACATTTTTACTTTTATTGTATATCTAAGAATTACAAATTCTTAGCTATACAATATGTAACATACTTGTTTTAAATAACTTAAATCAAATTTGTATTTAAAAATAACGCTTTTTGTTTTCATGTAAAATTTTTTTTGTTTTGAGGGGGAGGGGAGAGAGAAATAATTTAGGATTAAAATTTCAAGGGAAGGCCTATTTTTTGTCGCCAAGCCACTGCTTAAAGGCCAAACGAAGATGTACATTGCCGTTCATAATTTTAGGTAGATCTTGATTGTTGTGATAACTGTTAGTTTTATTTGAGTTAAAAATTATCAGCCACGGAAAGGCAGATGGAACTTCTTTATAAAATTAATCATAGATTGGTGCAGGTTAAACATTGTTTCAAAAACGCACTAGAAGAAATAGGACGTGACTATTTATACAAATAAAGACTTTTAAAAGCTTATGTCCTATTTAAGTAATGAAAAATGACAGTACCCCTGCAGTAAAATTGAGGCGGTTTTGCTCTTTTTTTATACTGCCGATATTGCTGGCTTTAATATTTGAATTAGTTTCAGCAATATAAGTAATTCTAAAACCAGCGGAACTATCAGTAAAAAAAGTTATAATATCCGCATCAATTTTAGTGCAAAAGTATCGACATTTTTATATACTTAAATTATTACTTAAAGTTATTATCAAATATCAATTTTAAATTATTATTATGTTTATTATCTTTGGACGAAATTGTCAACTGTTCTTAACTTATTTAATGCTCTGGCATTTTTACATTTCCAAAAAACCGATGTGTTCTGCCTACATGACTATTAGCATTTTAATATATATAAATAAATATAAGAAACTTTGAAATTTTTATTTTTAAGTAAAAATTTTTTTTTTTTTAAATACTTAATATATAAAAAAGTTTAATCAAAATAAAACTTAATGTCTGATTTACTATCAAGCAAAAGTTATATGAATTTAACTTTCGAACAAAAAAAACTCCAAAAAAAAATTCTGTAAAGTTTCGAATTTTTTTGTTTCGTTGTCAACGAAAATCTTAAAAAAAAATGGCGAATACTTTAAATTTCAAAAATAATTGATATTAGCATAAATGTGATTGTGTGCAGAATATAATTTTATTTTTTTAAATATAAAATTAAATTTCATCAACTTTCAATAAACCTGAAAACTCATGAGTTTATCGTAAACATCATATATAATAACGAAGGTTGAATATAATAAAGAAATATTGCAGTAAAAAAAAAATATTGTCAAAAAATATTTATTATTAATTTAATAAGAAAAAAGGTAATTACCGTAAAAGCATATTTAATCTAATTTTAGTATTTTATATAATTAACACTTTTTGATATTAATTATATTTTAATATTTATAGTAACAAAAGAAAAAATATATTAATATTATTATCAAAATGATCAAAATTCATGATATAATTATGAAGATATAAAAAAAAAAGTTAATAAAAAAAAACTATATATTTAAACAAAGATTAATATAAATTATTATTATTTATAGTTTAATGTTATTATTATTATTAAAAATGTTAAAAAAATAATAATTATGAAAAACTATGTACCACAAATATAATTATATATTTAATAGTTTATGTAACTACTATTTTAATTAATATATTTTAAAAAGAACTAATTATAAATATGAATAATATTATAATATAATATTTATAACTTTTTTATTTAAATCTAATATATTTAAATTATTTCGTATATTTAAAGCAAATATATTTATAAAAAAATAAATTAAATAATTTAATTTTTTATTATTTTTATTATTTAAAAATAAATTAAATATTTTATTTATTATTATATAATTGTTTTTATTTTATATATTTAAAATATTAAACATTTTTCCGCGTTATAAAGTTAATTCATCGAGGTTACGAAAATATTTTCCACGGTACTCGATCTCAAACTTCTTGATGTTCGAACAACGAATCCATTCACAAATGTCTTTAAAGAAATCAATGTCGTCGTGAAGTTCAAGATTTAATTCTTCACAAAGATTAATCCAAGGAAGAAAGTTTTCTTCAAAATCTTTTTTTGTTATTATATAAAATGAGATCGATATCCACAACCTTTCAATCTTATCTTTCGGTTTCCATCCTTCGAAATTAATTGGATGAAAAAAGCTGACACCGCGAACATTAGTTGAACATCGAATTATAAGATTTTTTTCTTCATCACTTAAAATATTTTTAATAACACATAACCACTTTAACTTTCTTCCAGATTTTATGTAATAATTTACAAAATAATTATCGCAAGAAGTTGCGTAAGAAGTTTTTCCATCGTCAATAAAAATCTTCCAACCAAACCTTCGTTTATTTTGTTCATCAACAATTTCATCAACAATTGATTTTATTTTATCAGTGAATGATTGACTTTCGTAAAAACATTCGTAGAAAAAATTGAAATCTTCATTAAAACCATCACTTTTAGATAGACGATCTAAAGAAAAATTAAATGTGAAATATAACAATAAACAAATAAATAAGAAACAAAAAATAAAATAATAATCAAAATTGTGATATTATACATATAATATTATTATTTTTCTATATACAAATATAATTAATCCACTATAATTAAATAAAAAATTGAATACATTTTCATATTATTAATAAATATATTATATTTATATTATAATATAATAAACATAATTACATTAATAATAAATGAAATTATATATAAAACTTAATAAAACTTTTAAACAAAATAACTTCTTAATAAAAATTATAAAAAATATACTAATTTTATTATTTTGAACATAATTTTTATATTAATAAATTTTATTATAAATGTTGTGTTTATAATTTTTAATAACCAATAACATACATATATAAAATATATTTTTTACTTAAAATAACATAAAACAGATTAAAAATATGTTTAACTTAGAAAAAAACTAATAAAAAAAATTATTTATTCATATTGTCATTCGAAATAAATATCATCATTTTTTTATATAAGAAGATAAAAAGGAAAACCTGTTTTATTTATATACAAATTTGTAAAGAACTCAATGTAGTTATAATCCGAATTCCTACAGAACTTGTTTAAATTTAAAATTTACATCGAAAACCTCCTTCGACAATCTTTTTTAAAATACGTTAATTAAATAAATATGAAAAAACGTCAAAGAGTGAGGGTTCAAATATTTGGTGATTCGATTTCGACGTCGATTTGAAACTTTGAACAAAATCAATAAAAATTTGCAACTTTTATACAACTTATAAATTAAATTTTGATGCAATTAGCGCTTCTTGAATAAGGCTACAAAATATATATTATTAAAACATAAAAAAAAGCAACTAACGCAGCTAAGAAGAACCAATAATCTATTCAATCAAATTTAAATTTTTATACAAATTATATCGAATGCATGTTTTTTGGATAGACAAATAAAATGTTGTTTTGAAATTTTGTAATTCATGTAACAGTCATTTTAAAGAAAAGTTTTACTTTCACTATCATTTTATAAAATTAATATTTCTCTTTACGAGTGACCAAATGAACACAAGTTCTAATGAGAAAATTTAACTTACGGTGAGAACATAAAAAAAACTACTAATGGCAATAGTGTCACAGGAGTATTAAAACTTGGACGAACTGTCGATTTACAAATTATTGAACTATATTGTGGGAATATTTTACATGTTTATTAAATCGAATGAAACGAATAAAATTAAATTCGCTTGAAATTACAGTCTTAGAATAGAATCAGCTTATATCTTGAAATCAAATTATTATCAAAAATATTAAATTTAAATATTATCTTTTCTTGAATTTTTTTTGTTTAAAAAAATTCACTGAATATATCAACAAAATAAACAAAAATGAAAAAAAAAAAAAATTGTTTTCATAATTATATTCAAGAGGTCATTGTCGTCGTATCGCCTTAAAAAAATTCGACTTTAGTTCCAAAACATAAACTTTTTAAATGAAAAGAAAAAATTGATTATAAAACTGAAGTATACTTACAAAAATTAAAAAGTTTTGTTACCAGTGTGAATTTTAATAAACAATGATAACAAAATGATACCGTAAAGCATTTTAAGAAAATAAATTGAAAAGTGAGTTTTCAAAATTTAAAACTCGATCATCGAACTTCAAAAAATCTTTTAATAAATTCGAAAAAAACAGTAAATATTGAAAACAAACGTTTCGCTTATAATATGATTTTGTAACCATCGCAACCGATTTTTAAATGCACAATAGCGGTAGCAGGTTCATAAAACGAAAAGATTAAAACCGAAAAAACCTTATTATAATTTTACATACAACCTACTTTTTAAAATTGTTATATAATTTTTGTTCCTACAGCCCCGGATCATTGTAACTAAAATGGAAAACACTTAGCCATCAAAAAAAAAAAAAAAAAATTATATTCAATGTATTTTTTTATCGACTGCTTTTTAAAAGATATGGTCGTTCCACTAAAAAAAAAAAAAAAAATTAAAAGAGCGCCGATTTAAATAAAAATGTTTTTGATAATATTGAACTCTTAACAAAAACTTGCTACACTTTTAATTATATTGGCAAATATAAAATTATTTAACTGTTAAAAAAATTATTACACTAAATTGCTGAATAAAAATTTTTATTTTATGTAATTAATTATATTTTATATATCAATTACTTTGATATATTATTCACTTTTATTGTAGAATTTTTAATTGTTGTAATAATTCTTCAAATGCCTGCATTCTATTACAAAAAGATAATATATAACTGTTTTCATATGCAGTAAACAACGTTCGTCTAAAGAATTTTTTCATGCTGCAATAAACGACACTTGTTAAAGTGTATGTTCTTGTAAACATGCAAACTTTTGTTAAAAAAAAAAAAACAGAAAGAAAAACGAACGTCACTTTAATTTTGCTTATGCAAACGTTGGCGTTTGTTTAAAATTAATAAAAACGAACGTATTACTTTAGCGTTTTTTTTTTCCAAATATATATGCGATTGATAGTTTTTTATTTAATATAAAAACACATATTTATAATAAATATAATATTTTTAAAATTACATTTTACAGTGCAGACTTCAAATTTGAATGAATTTGATGCTGTTTTGACTACTATTGAACTGCTATTTGATAAAGACAGACCTAAATTTTAGTTCAAATATTATACTAATTTAATTTATCTTAAACAAAGTGAAGAAAGAATATTTATGCAATTGTTTTGCAAGAAACGATGTATACCACAAGGTGACTCGTAACACAAGGACATCTTGACCTTGATAAACAATTGATATAACTGATAAACAATTTAGTAAAGAATAAAAGAAATCAAAGAATATTAAAGTGTAAACTGCAATATTTTTATAAGGGAAATTTTAATCAAAAATTCATATACTTATATGCCCTATCTAAAAATATAAAAAATATTAAAATATGTTAGCCTTGCTCTAAACTAAGCAGTTTTTAGTCATTTTAAGGTCCGTTTTTTTGTTTCATATATGTCATTTGAGGGCAAGGAATGAGTGATTCAATGGCGTTCAAATTTTTTACGAGTTAGTTTAATCATATTTGCTTCAAATATAGATGGTTAGGTTTTTCAAATACCAAAACTTTTTAATGTCTAAGAGATGGTTTCCAATAACAGTAACAATGTCAAACAAGAATTGCGCATTTAAATTCAAATGAATCGGTTTTTGTTAAAAGGGCGTAAGTCACAAAATACATTTTTTTCAAAATATAAAAAAACTTAATATCAAAAAAACTTCTTATTAAAAAGATTTTTGAAAATTAATTTGAAAGTAAAAGTTACTGTTTTATAAAATTAGTAAAGTTTAATAAAGTTTAGTATTTTATTTTTAAACGACTCTTTAGAATTATTTTTGAACAAAAATATTTTAAACCATTCTTTCGAGTAAATTGACATGGTTTAAAACCCGCTATAAATGAATTTAACATCAAAACTTTTTTTAAGTTTTCCATCAAATTATTATTTTTCAACCAGAAGTTTACTTGTAACTTTTTTTGAGAGTATTTTAATATTAATTTTAATGAAGCATAACAAAAAAGTGCAAAAATATGTTGCATTCTCCCCCATACATGACAGAAACCGATTAAGGATGCAACAAAATAAATATTATTTCCACTGACACACACTTAACATGAAACTATACTCTTGCGTAAATAATACATGGGAGGAAAGGTTTTTAAAATTTTGAAAAACTGTCCCACTCACCCCCTATAAAATCTCGTACCCTACTTTTTATTATTGTTTACTTTATTTTTATTGTAACAATTAAATCCTTCCGTGAAAAAATAAAGTTTCCAAATTATTCTCTATAAATGTAATTATAGTAATTCCTTATTTGTAATAACTTTATATTCTTATAATAGTGTGACTGTCTTGTTAAAGACGATTTAAAAGTAATTTCAAGCGAAGAAAGAAAATAGACTTTTTATTAAAAACCATATGAAAGTGATTTCAAGATTTTAATAAAATACTTATATGAATTATTTCAAAAACAAAACATTGAAAAAGACTCTGCAGTCTTTTTTATAATATTTTATTTATTATAAAAAAAAAAACTTCGTTTAAGAAAAACTTATTTGTGTTTTACTTTATTTTTTATACATAACTTTGATTTTTTCATATATAAAAAACTTGTTTCTCTTGCTACACTTAACCAAAGATTTGAGAAATTGTATGTCTAGATCATGCTTGAAAACAGTCTGTTCAAAAATATCAAATAATAGCCACGAATTCGCTCTTACATAATCAACCACTGAAGGTATTTCCAAATTTTGAAAGCTGACGCTGCATCTAATTTAAACATTTTCCGATGGAAAATCTGCCAGAACAAAGAGCTGGTCCTGTACAGTTAATACTTCAATAATTTTTAACATTATCTTATCAAATAATAATGCTAATAATGAGTTTATTTATAACATTATGAAATCAAAGGCTAAAAAAACTATTTTTGATTGCAGCTGTATCTGAATTCCCAGCTCTGAGAAATTTAGGAGAATAGAAAATTGAAATATATGTTGCCATCTTTTCCACATTCTTTATCTTATTTTTGTCTCAAGTTCAGGATTTGCTTTGTCAAATTATAAGGAAGCATGACATTGCGAACTCTTCAGATCAGTAAATACTTACTGCCATAAAACGTGTATGGTTTACTGCCCCAGGCTTGTGAATGTTGAGATGCTTGATTGTTGGTTCCTAAAAAATGAGAGCTAGCTCAGTAAGTTCCTGGTAGTCTCTAGTTCCTGGTAATATTGGATATTGTTTTTATTAATAAATATTTCACATTTATTACATAAACTTGAACATTTTAATGGCTAGAAAAATTAACCTAAAAATATTTGAAAACACCTTCATTAACAAGTGTTATTAAAAGAATTCTTGCCTCATCTGCTTGTTCTTTAAACTAAGAATGACAAATCTGTTGCGAATTGATGTGATCAATAAACTGTGTCATTATCA